TTTGCTTCATCACTTGGAGTGTGCTACCTATCTCATGATCACTTGATAAACTAGGCTAGCACTTAGGGTTTCATCAATTCACCAAAACCAAACTAGAGCTTTCACACGCCCAAACATGTTCCCCCACGCAGATGGGGAGATATTGAATGATGAAAAGGTCATCATCCACCCCTCCGGCTCGGCAGGCGAGCCAGAAATCATCGAGCCAAATACCAGGGTTCGTCTCTATGGTGTACTTGGCGATGTTGGTGGGCGGTCGGAAGCGCTGTGGGAACGACGCTCTCTGGATACGCCGGCCAAAGGCCCGTGGTCCTAGGCCCTCAAGGCTGGGACTCCAGTCGTCTGGCCAGCGACCATGCCTGGGGCGTGTTTCACCGCTCCCCTCGATGGTTTGGCCGGGACCCGTGTCGCCTGCCCTCATCGCCGCCCGATGGATGTCATCATCATGCCGGGTCTGATGTCGGTTGCTGATGATGCTGCGAGCATCTTGGTGTGGACCGGGCCATTCACGTACCGGCGGTTGGTGTGGAGCAGGCGCCAGGTCGGACCGCGGCGCAGCCGCTGCCTCCCGAGCCACGCTCAGTGGCTATAGCTGTGAGCGGACGGAGCGATCTGTCTGGTGCGTCCCCACTCTCTCAGTGGGGAGAGAGGGCGCGTGTCGGAGTCGCGATGCGGAGCTTTCCGCCTATTGAACGGCGATGGCTTCTACCAGCGCTTGGAGGTTCCGGTAGACCGCCCGCTCCTAGGGGTCAATGGGCTCGGGAACGCCGTGCAGAAGCATGGCCGTAGTGGCGATGTTCTGGCTAGCTCGAGCGAACTGTGGGGGGTCGTTCCCCTCATTCATGATGTCGCGCTGGACCTAGCGGGCATGACCCCGGGCGCTGCTTGCCGGGTCACGCGCATGGGGCGCAACATGCTGCCTCGAGCGCGCCGACGCAGGCGGCAGCTGGTTCAGTCGCCATTGTCGTAGCTCCTCAGCATGCCCTCGTGCGAGCGTGAGGGCCCCCGCACGTGGGTCTAGAGGGGCGTGAGTCTACACAGACTCCGCAACCATCGGCGGCTGCCCCGGAGCGTCTACCATAGCGCACTCCCAGGACGGACGGTGGTTAGGCGCCACGTCGCCGATGCTGGAGCCGTCGCTCTCAACCTCATCATCCAGGAGTTCATGGAAAGTGGTGGGAACATAGCTCGTCATTCCCACGAATTCGGTTGTGAGAGGGGGCGGCGCCAACGTCCTTCGGAGCCCCCGAGCGCACATGTCCGCGGGACACGCGAGGCCGTAGGAGAACCGGTCGTACGGTGTTTGTGGTGCGAACAATACGGTCCCTCCGGATAATCGGTGGGAGATAGTAAATAGAGAGTAAATAACAATATGCACATTACTCACAGCGGGGTTTGAGCAGAGAGTTTGCTCGGAATGAAGCACAGGTGCCTCGTCGTTGAAGTCATCGTGCGTCCCAGAGCCGATGGAGGGCGCCCCTCCAACGGGCGCCGGAACGAGTGCCTCCTCGCGGAGGTGTAGTACGCCGAGCCGGTCGGCGACGAAGTCCAGGCTTCCAAAGAGGAAGGCCTGGGACGGCTCAAAGACAGGTGGAACCCACATCCGAACAGGTGGGAGTGTGGGAAACTCTAGTGAGCCGAAGCAAGTCGTATCGCTTGAGCCCACCATGGCGAAGGTGGCGGAAAAGTGGGCCATCCGATGACCAAAAGTGTGAACGTACAGCGTCTTCCCCACGGACGGCGCCAACTGTCCGTGCAGAAAGTGACCAACACGTAAATATTTGTAATTTTGCCGTATGTTATGATCGGAGGTGGCCTAGCACTCAATGACATAGGGTTTATACTGGTTCAGGCAACGTGCCCTACGTACAGTTTGAGTCGGTCGGTGACTTTATTCCTGAGCCTAGGTGCTCAAAGTTTGCAGTGGGGTTACAAACTAGAAGGAGAAAGATGGGGGGTACAAGAGGTCCGGTCGGACTCTGGTCAGAGGGGCCGAGAGTGACGAGAGCTCCGCTATGTGCTAAGTGTTCGAGCGTGTGCTTGTGGTTTGAACCTGGTGGTTTTGTTGTTGTGTGCTAGTGAACTTGATCGATCTTTTTGTTGGAAGAGAGCGCATCCCCTTTTATAGATGAAGGTGATGGTCTTACAAGTGAGAGGGAGAGAGTACGTATGCTGCTAAGTCTTGCTGTCTACGCCAGCGGGTACAAGATGATGGTAGGCGGCCATAATACTGTTTAGTGTTAGGTGCACATGGAGGTTGCATCATCTTCTTCAGGTATGGCAGACGTCGGTGCCTGCCATACTGTTGATACCCAGAGGCATGCAAGGGGTTTTACCATGTTCACCTGGTACAGTAAATATCGGCGCCCACAACACTATTGATGCCTCAGAGGCACGTGGGGAGCCTTACCGTATTTGTCTGGTATGGGAGTTGATGGCGCCCACAACACTGTAGGGGATAATGTCGGCGCCTACAACACTGTTTGGGTTCTGTCATGCTAGGGAGGTCGCAGGGTACTGTCCTGCAGGTGTACAGGATACGGTTCTTGGTATTGCGTTTGACTTGGGTGCCCTGCCTTACTTTGTTCGTCTGTTTTCTGGTCCTTACCAAGCGGGCATCCCCGGTCGGTTGGTCCCAATCGGCTCTGATTGCGCTAGTTGAAGAAGAGTAGTGAGCAGAGGTTTGGCGCATCCCCAGTCAGAGACGTGGGTCGGAGTTGGAGGCGGTGTTTGGCTAGGCCTTCTGGTCGGAGAGGCTGTCCTGGAGGCGGGCCGGAGTTTGGGATCGAGGCCTTCCGGTCGGAGAGGCGGACCAGAGTCAGAAGCGGGCGTCGTTCCTCCTCGGTCATGCCTTCCGGTCGAAGATTGGATTGTCCTTCTAGCCTGTCGTTTACTTGTTTGGGCTGGCCCATGAGTTGCGCGTCGTTCGCAACGTTGTCTGCTGGGCCGAGCTTCTGCTGGGAAGCCGGTCCATGAGGGACCTCGGGTTTATAAACCCGACAATACACTTACAACATACATGTAAAATATATGCAACATCTAGATAAAAGCATTTGCAACTTGCAACATGGAAACACTTGCTACAACATAAGACTGAAACAGATGAAACATTTTCGAATATACTCTTGCAACATATGTGTGAAACATATGCAACATCCACATCAAAACACTTGCAACATGTGTCTGAAACAGATGAACCACTTCCAACATATGCAATATGTGCATACCTCTAAAACACTTGCAACATGTGCAACATCCCGATCAACTTTTATAACATTCATATGAAACACTTGCAACATACCTCTAAACATCTAAAACAATTTAAACATATATTTGCACCATAAGGGAGGGGAGGCCCGAGGGCGGTTGATTTTGGCCGTTGGGGTGAGAGCCGGTGGCGCATGAGCCCCACCAGCACCGACCGCGCTTGTGGGTGCCCTTGGCTCGGCCGGGGACGACCTGAGGCACTCGACACGTGCGCCCAGCGGCCATCGGCAGGGGCAGCGGTAGTGCCCCGCGGCGGCGAGGCATCCCGACGGCGCTAGGGTTGGGGAAGAGGCGGGGGAGGCGCTATGCTGCCAATGGACGCGAGAGAGAGACTGAGAGGTGGGAAGGGCGAGAATGGGGAGAGCAGAGCCAGCAGCGCGCACGGCAGAGCGGGAGCGAGCATCGCGGGTGTAGGGGGGCGGCAGAGAGGAGCGAGAGGCGCGGCTGGGGGGTGCGACGAGCGGAAACGTGGAGCGAGCGACACTGGATAGGGTGCACGACGGGGGGAGGCGGCGGCATATTGGTAGAGTGGGGTGCGCGGCGTCCGAACGGACGCACACCTACGTGGGAGCATTATTGAAGTCCAAATGAGTAAATGACCTAGGGCTGATTGAATCCACTAGCGTGGACTGTATGGAGCCCATCAGTTAGAGCATATTTAGAACAGAGGAATAAAAAATAAAAAACATAAAATTTTATAAAAATAGGTGTTTTTAGAACACAAGAACATAAAAATGTTCTCTCTCCGTTCTCATTAAAAAGGAATTGCTCATCTCTCTATTTACACGTGGGGAAAAAATTTAAGAGCTTAAATTGGATGCTTTATTTCTTTCATATTTCATAAAGGAAAACAAGCCTTTCATAGGAAAAGAAAACTTCATGTCTCGGATCAAGTGGTGTTACAGGATCAAATTCCTGCAATTCTCAGTTGTCATTGCATGACTAGGTCTTAATTAACGACAAGTTAAATTATTCTTATCCAAAAAATTGACCTGAAAAGTGAAAATGTTGTCAAACGACATCATCCACACGACTACACAACATAATCCGATTCTTGAGATTCCACGTCGCAGCAGCAGATCCAGCATTGATGCTCAATCCCCAATTCGTCCTCAGAGAAGATAACACAAGGTCATCCACCGGTAGCCAGGACACGGAGAAGCATAGGCGGGCGCATATTACGATTTCCGAAGGGACGGGGCGCGTACTTGGTGGCGGTTGCTGTAGCAGGCTGCAGCCATTGGATCCGGATGGTGGTGACACCACGCCCACACAGAGTAGGAGCACAAGGCGGAGGCGCGCGTCCAGTTGCCGGCGGCGAACGGATCTTGGCAAGGAACGAAGAAGCGATGGCGCCCACCACTTGTTCAAGGAACCGATGCCCTCTCGGGCCACAAGACGGATCTTGGCGAGGGATTGATCTCGGAAGCAGGGCCGCTGGCGCCTCAGGCTGCGCCGCCCTCACCATCGGCATTACACAATCCGAATTCTAAGCTCTAATATGCTTAGTATTGGAGGGCATGGCATTAAGAAACAACGAAATCTAGAAGATTACTAGACTATAGTGCTATTAATAAATGAGTAAAATTATCAAAGAACACCAAAAAAAAAAAAGATGAACAAGTAGCTAGTACTCAAATGCTCTTGTAGTATTGTGAATTTGATTATTTGATTGATCATGCAACGCTGCCCTTTAAAACCGAATTCGCCAAGTTGCCAGTTGCCACGAACGCTCACGCCGCGGCGGCACTTGTCACCGGCTTCTCGTCGGCTCCGTCTTCCACATCATCCTCCTCCTTCCCGGAGGAGTTCAGCCCGGCCGCCTCCTCAAGGCCCCTCCACGGCCCGTCGAACTGCTCGGGGAACTTCTTGCGCAGACCGACCACCACCCGCCTCGCCGCTCGCCCCTTGCCAGCGTCCTTGAGACCGCGCATCAGCACACGCACCGTTCCGAGGTCGGTCACCTTCCGGCGCTTCACTCCCGCGTAGAACACGTCCTCCGCCTCCGACCACCGCCCCGCGCCACACAGCGCGCCCACCACGCAAGTATACGTCGCGCAGTCCGGCGCCACGTCCGCCTCCTCCCCGGCCTCCAGGCTGCGGTACACCTCCACCGTCTCATCGACTCTGTTGTGCCGCGCCATCGCCCGCATGAGCGCGTTGTAGGACACGAGATCCGGCCGGAACCCGGCCTCCTCGCGCATGACGCGGATCAGCTCCTTGACCTCCTCCACGGTGCCGTTAGCGGACTTGTAGGTGATCCGGGCGTTGTAGGCAGCGGTGTCGGGGGCGATGCCGTGGTCCTGGACCATGGCGCGCCACAGCTCCTCGGCGCGGTGCGGGAGGCGCTGCTTGTAGAAGGAGTCGATGATGGTTGTGAAGAGCTGCAGCGACGGCGGTGCCCCCGACGAAGGCTCCCGGAGGAGGTGGAGCGCGGAGTCGGCGCCGGAGGTGAGGCAGAGCGACTTGGCGAGGATGCTGTCCGTGACGGCGTCCCGCGGGATAGAGGCATGCGCGGCGAGGATGGAGGGCACGAGCCCGGCCAGGCGGCGGCGGCGCAGGAGTGGGCCGAGGACCGAGTTCAGGTGCGCGGTAGTGGGCGACGTGATGGTGCCCAGCAGCGCGGAGGCGCGGTCGGGGAAGCCCACCGAGGAGAGGGCTGAGAGCGCGGCGACGGGGTGGGAGGGGAACAGGGGCGCGAGGGTCGCATCGATGTCGTCGAGGCGGCCAGCGCGGGCGAGCTGGCGAAGACGGGCGATAGGGACGGGGAGCTCGGTTTTCTCTGCCGCTGCCGCGGCGGTGGAGAGGAGCCGGCGGCCTGCGGCGGCCATGGCGGCGGAAGTGCGGAGCTAAACAGAGTCGATAGCAGCCAGTGGTATTAGGGTTTAGAGAAGTCGTCTGCTATAGTGGTCTTGCTTCTTTCGCGGTTCAGTCAGGCAGGCCTTGAGATTGAGAATGTGGAGGAAAGCCCATTCAGCCCAATTTTCTGCATGCCCTTCCTGTCCATACATTTAGGCCCAATTTTCTGTCTGCCCTTCCTATCCATATTTGCACCAAACAATTGTCTGGAACAGTAGACAAGTAGCACATCAATTTTTCCTCAAAAAAAAAGTGTGATAAAATTCCCCTTCAAAAGCATCAAACCAAATTTTGTCACGCCCAATTTTCAAAAGAAGACCAAGCACTCATCATATGTGTGCCTAGAAAGTCCACACATACAACAACAGAATAGAAATATCAGAAACAATGTTATACAACGAAAAACATACTTAAAATAACACTTACAACTATCAGAGTATCGCGGAACGAATGCTAATCTTCTCTTTAGGCTCCATACTTTTCAGGGACGGCTGACTGGGGGTTCCGTATGCCAAGCACTTCTGACTAACCATGGAAAACTCCTCTGCATCTTCATCTTTCTGAGCAGCACTTTCTACACACTAGGGGTGTGGGGGAAATAGCAAGGGTGAGTCCATGTCGAATTCAACAAGTACAGGTGAAAAGTAATGATATGCAAGGCTTATGCAAAGGAAAGGCTGACACTGTTTAACTGCAGATTAGCTTTTTAGTTGGTAAATTTTATTAGAACAACCTGTTACTAAAATGAGTAATTCATCCCAGCCCTTAATTAATAGAGTAAGGTTAACAATATTATTATTAATCATCATCATTATTATCGAGGTAGCAACCTCAAGAAGTAACCTGGGGTAGCCACCCCAAATAGAACACACGAGATAGCCATCCCGCCAAAACACGAGGTAACCACCTCAAACCATAAATCTGCCTCCATAGTCCATGTGAGTTCAATTCTAATCATGCGAGGATCTAGGCCGCTCGTGTCCGTGAGCACGGCTGATATATTAGTTTTAACTCTGCAAAGGTGTACACTTTCACTTCAAGTCATGATTCCCATTTGCCCAGGGTCACGACTCCCCAAAACACTACCAAGGTGAGCATGTAGGGTTTCACTATGAGACTGTTCACAGTTTCTACTAGTAGGAAGCAACCCGCTAGGTTTCAGTCTGGCATATGGTTAACCATCCCTGTAGGAAGCCCAAGTAGCCACCCGCAGCGTCCCTCACGAGTGAGGACTACCATACTAACCTAGACCCCCCTTTTGCGCCTACCGGTAAGTTGCCCCACTACTAGCAGAAGGTCTGCTAATACGTCAAGCCAGAGCCATATAGCTTGAAGCTATACGGTAAGTCCCAGGTGGCCGCTCCACGAACAGGTCATTAGGGAGGGCAGACACAAGTACTCCTGGAAACCGGGCCAAGCTCCAATACATGTTCCCCCTTTTCAAAACCTTAACCACGATGCTATAAGCATCCTTACTTCTCCATTAATATAGTAGCCATTAATCATCAGTAATCATTAATCATCATTAAAGTAATCATTAGTCATCATTACTATCATTAACATGTAGAAGTGGTGAGTGGCGCGGCTAAGCATAACTACACTACCCAATCATAGAAACCTGAGGTAAATACAAGGAAGGTACTCATAGGGCTAGTCATGTCCTTAGGGTTTGCAATATTAGACACATGCAATGAAAGAAAAGTGAATTATAAACGAGTAGGTACAATATGATCAAATGGTGCCTGCACTTGCCTTTTCCCAAAGTTTAGCTGCTCAGAAGTCTTGGGCTTGTATCTTCTGGTCTCTAGCTTCTGCTTCGACTGTCGATCCTTAACTCATGATCTTCAGCGCTAACGGACTATGCTTCCTCTACTCAACGCAACAAAGCAACACAAATAGACAAACAACAAATACGACTAAGATCAATACATCACTCAAAAGGAGAAGCTTGAAAAGAGCGCACTAATCGGCAAGGCTCGGTGCTACGGTCACAAGAGCGCAAGAACAACGGAAAACGGAGCTATCGTTGAAAGGACACGAATATCGATAGGTTGTACAACATAACAAAGAATAGATTATACGTTTGGTTCATTTTAGTTAATGAGGTGATGGACATTTCATAGAAATAACCCAAAGTTCAACTAACCAAATGATATTGAATTATAAAAGCCGGAGTTAAACCTTAGTCACATTTTATTCATAAATATTTAATAGTATTTAAATAATTTAAGCATTTATAATTTTAGAAAGCATAAAACATGCGAGAACAACTAATAGATTCACTATATGTTTCGAGGTTGATCTAAGCAGGTCATTATTGAAAGGTATTTATGTTGATATAATATTGATTTATGAAAAGCCGATGTATAAGCTAAGTTGCTTTTGTATATTATTAAAAAGGCATTAGACAAATATCAATCGTATAATATTTATGTTGAAATTCAACAGCATAGGTCGTGGCAAAACGTCGCTGCTAACACGTAACTTACACTGTTACGAAGTTAACGCAACAAGAACGGGCTGAATCGGAGCTAGAACGTGTAATCTATGGCTAAAACTAACTTCTGGGGACCTTTCTAGGAATAAAACACAAAATCTAGGGGCTAACAGACGAAACCAGGGCTACATCGTAAATAAACAAAACTATCGAGGGCTAACTCGCGAAAACCGAAGGGCTTGGACGGCGGGTTTAATTAACCGAAAGATCAGGGGCTAAACAATAAAACTCAGGGACCTTATTCTAATTATTTTGAACAAGCGCGGAGCGAGGGTTGAATACAGAAAATTACAGGGGTTTTATGAAAAAGTGCTAGGGCTGACCGCGGCTTGACTTGTTGACCCGGTCTATGCTGACGTGGCGCTTGCGTGGCAGCCACGTCGGCGGCTGACGGGGCTGTTTGACCCGGCGGTTGTCGGTGGATCTGGGCCGTCCGTATTGGATCGGACGTCCAAGGTTGGGCGCTGGGGTTTGGGTCGCCAAGGCGGCGCTGGCCGCGGCGGCGCGGCCATGGGTGTCGGCGGCGGCTTGCCGGAGTGAAGCGGCGCTTGCGCTACGGCGCTCGGATGGTTATGCGGAGGGCACAGGGGCGCGGAGCGCGATCTCACGAACCCAATGCGCGGCTTCGCGGTGGCGGTGGCTGGCTGGAGGCGAGTCGGCACGGCGGGACGCCATTGCCGACGATGGCGAGCTCGGTGGGGAGGCGCTGCGGGGCGCTAGCGCTGGCGCGGATAGGACAGGGAGGGAGCGCGCGGGGCGGTGAACTCGGCGGGGCAGGTTCCGACGGCGAACGGTGGCCGGAGACGTTAGCGCGCGCGATGGAGCGGAGCGGCTACGGCGGCGGTACAACGGCGAGCTCGTACGCGTGACACAAAGGGAGATAGGGAGCGGGACAGGCACCGACGGGTTCCTCACCTCGCCGTGAAGTCCGTGAAGGTGTTTCTCGTCGACGGGGACTCACCGGTGGAGGAGATCAACGGCGGCGGCGGCGGCTCCTCCCCGTGGCTATAGCGATGGCGGCGCGCTAGGGTTAGGGCACGGGTGCCGGCGGCTCTGCTAGGGTTCCAAAGGGGCGCGGCGCACAGGAGCTCCTCCATATATAGGCGCGGCCAACCTCGTAGCGCGTGCGGGGAAGGATCGACGGCGGCGGATACGCCCGTGCGATGCGTAAGGTAGGGGACGACCTGCGAGCGCTGACGCGTGGGCCCGGGGCGTCAGCGGCTCAGTGCGGGCTGGCGTGGGCGCTGCTGAGGTTGGCGAGTGGGGCCCGCCTGGCAGCAGTTCGTGGCGAGGCGCGGAGCGGGCTGCGCCGCTGCTGCGGCGCTGGGCTAGGCCGCGGCCGGAGCGGCAGCGGCTGCTGGGCCCAAGAGCTGGGCGAGCGCGCGGGTGGAGATGAGGGGCTGTCCGCAGTCTGGGGCAGGCCGGGTGCTGGGCCGCGGGAGCCGGGCCAGCAGCACGAGCGGGCCGAAAGCGAGGGAGAGAGGGAGAGAATAAAAGAAAAGGATTTTCTTTTTATAAACAGGATTCCCAAACCATTTTGCAAAGCAAATTCCAAACCATAATTTTATTAATAAGTTTGAGATTATTTTGGAAAGTGATTTTTAGACTATTGTAAAATTCAAAACATATTTTCTTTTAAACACATTTTAAAATGTTTTTCAGACTCAAATTTGAACTAGTTTTCAAATAGGACCTTTGAAGTTTTATTTTCAAAATAGAAGAGGACCTAAACGTGATTTGTTCAAATTTTAGAAATTCATTTTTCACTCAACCAAGCCAAAGCAAAGAACAAAAACACACAAACACACTCATTTTAGCTTTGTAAAAATTTATAAATCCACATGTTTTTTTCTCATTTTGAAAAGACAACAATTAATTAAATCTTGTTTTTTTAGAAACATCATTAAATCCTTTATTTTATTTAGTGTTTTCTATTCACCACCCAAAATATGAATTTTTGGGTGTGACAAATTTGTACTAGTATAAGTAGCATATTTTTATTATTTATACCCTAATAAAGAGCAAAATACATCAAGGTCGTTTAACTTAGATTGTGTTAGGATGAAAACAGTATCAATGATATATGGAGATTGAGAACGACAAAACGTAGACCAGCAAACAAGGGAGTCCTGAACCTGACACCACCAACTCTTCAAGATGCAGCTAGATGTACAAATAATTGTGCTAAGAAAAGGGAAATAATATGTTGGTGTTTGCTCAGATTAGGGCACGCAGGAGAACAGACCACCAAAGCTAGACCGGTCGAACAAAATATCAGACTTATCTCCCACGATTAAAAAGAACTAGGCAGCGTATCCGTGCGTTGCTACGGAATAGCTAACATTTTGTACTAAAAACACACGGATCGTACGATAAGATAACAATACTGTAAAATTTAAATACCAACGTTAAAGTGACATTTAATCCAAAAAGCAAAGTTTATGAATTTAACACAGTCATAGAGAGCGCGACGTCGCAGGCTCACAGGCTCTACTATATAGATCTTTCCGTGATGCGGCTAAGATAATGTTTTATATCGGCAGGAAGAAATCTCCGATATTCATTTCTTTCGTGCGCCAATAAATCCACGAATAAGTTCCGTCGCATCTCCATACCATCCTGTACATAGGTTCGAGTATATATGTAAATATAGGTAAATGCTCGTGCATTGCAACGGGAAAAAATAATGTTACGATAACATATGTATGAACATGTGTTGTACTATTACCTATAAGTATGATGTATGGCACACCAATATTACATAAGTCTTCATGTTGTATAGACCATTATAAAGTTCAAGAAATCATTAGTATTTTACCTTCTAACTTGACTATAAACCATCAGTTTAAGGGTCCTAGCATGCATGAAAAAAGACAAAGGTAATATATTTCAGAACAAGTAATTAGATTTGGACAGGTAACTATAAATGTATCAGACAACCATCTGGACAAATTCTCAACCTACAGAAGTATATATCATGTGTTAACAATCAATAGTGCAAGGGAGGTGTCATGCATAGTCCCTATTCTAGGTTGTTTGTTTGTTCATCATGCAATTACAAGCATTTCATAATTTAAGCACATACAGAGTTCTTAAGCTGTGTGCCTGATCCAAAGCTTAAGTCGCCAGCTAGAATCGGCAGAACTCTTGAGTTCACAATTGGGTCAGATATAGTATCCGTGGGTATCTCATTCTCTGATTCACGAAGGATGACATTAAACATAGCAATATCTAAATGAGCTACGCAATGCTCCATCACCTGATAGAAACATAAAAAATTTCATGACTTCACATAAAAGATACCATTACCAAAGAAACAAAAATCAGCATCTGAAAGCATACCAATTTTGCCAACACTGGTAAACATCCACACTCATGTCCACCAGCACGAAGAGGACAACTTCTGCTGAATGCATCATCAAATGCAGTTTTCCAGAGATCAATAGAAAAACTCCTATGTTGTTGATCATCCAAAAAGCCCTAACAACCTCCCAATCTTTGGAGTTGACAAATCTTCTATAGAGGTTTGCATGTGAAATGAAAATCCTTCAGAAAACTAAAAAATGAATTAGTTTGAAGTAGGTTTTACTCATCATTGTTTTATAGGAGCCATACTCAACTTTTTGGAAAGTGCCAAGACAGTAATAGGGTTAACCTTTATATGCCACCACATCTTCTCCAATGCATCTACAATGTGCTAGTTTCGCGCCAATTATCTAGCAGCTTCATGATATTGGGTATACTTGCTATTGTAGTTACTTTTCCATCGTGTTGTAGCGAAACTCCTCTCAGGCTTCTTTGCACCATTTGTGCTGAAAACCTTAAATGGACTTGAGTGCCATGAAGTACCAAATGTTTGTGCAATGATCTCTCAGGACAAATGTGTTCGATAGCCAAAATGTCAGCCTACATCAAAATTAGGTTCTTACTTCTTAAATTTTGATCTGAAAGAATTGATGCTAACAACAATAAGGGAAACAAGCGGTAGAGCGTAGTCATAATTTACCTTGAAACATCATTGCCACAAGATTTTGAAACAAGCAGAAGCTCAGAAACTAAATTTTTTGCAACTGAAGCTTTCCTATCCGAGGACCAAAATTTTGATGCATGAGTGTAAATCCTAGATAAATGGGGAGCTAGCGTATGAAACTTATGTGATGAACAACCATGCTCTAGCATCACAGAGTAGAGAGAAACCTCAAGAGCAGCCTTATTATTTTCATACAAAACTTAGTTGCCATTATCAGCTAGGTTTTCTTCAGTATTAGCAATTCCATAGTCAGTACCCTAAATCTGATCATATTTTAGAGTTTCATCCAAATATCAATCTCCTTTGTCTCTTCAGTGGCTTTACCTTTAATCTCTTTGTCCTCAATGGCAACGGCCTTATCATCCTTTATTTTGTCCTCATCATTCTTTGCTCTGTCTCAACAGCTTTGTCATCGATGGCTCTGCCTTCAACAGTGCTATCATCCTTGAATCTGCTCTCAACTGCTTTATCATCTGCGGGTTATTAGTAAAAAAAAGAAAAAATCCATCTCAAAGAAAAAAAGTAACAAAACTTACACTATTTAAACATGAAAAGATCAGACAAATATTAAAGCAATGGATATTAGTATGATTGTTATTTTACATCTACAGGCAACAAATCACGAATGAATCATTGATGTCTAATGGAATGCATAAATAACCAGCGCCATAGTCATAAATTAAGTCTGTTGAGCTAAAGAAAATAGGGAGACAAAAACAACAATTTCCCTTGCTTATCTGAACAATCCAACAGTTGCTGCTGCTTTCACTTCACCAACAGAAGATAAATATCAAGTCACTGCTAGTTTCTTCCAAACTGCCATGCCTGCTTGTTCACAGAGGTGAGAACATCATCACAAGATTATGTAAATTTGATTAGCATTATATCTCTTCCTAGCAAGAAGCCAATTATGGCTACTAGCTCAAGATTATGATTTAGTAGTACATACTACCACCTTATTAATTCTAGAGCTCAGAGAAATGATGTGGTAAGAGATTTCACTACCTTAAACAGTCCCTGTTTGTATTATTACCGGCAATAATCTTAGTATTTTTATGAAACTATCCGAAGGTACAAAATTACACGTGACAATCGAGTCATGCAAAGATTAGATAGAAAATATCAATGGTGTATGAACCCCATCATCTTCTTCCTCATCATCGTCCCCAGCATCATCCTGCTCAATGGCTCGCCATGGTACAACGACAGATTAAGCACCATACAAAAATAGGAAAAAAAGATTATCAAGGTTGACTGAATTTTGACATTGGTCTGTACACTCACAATCACCGATTTCAACGAGCGCCATGAGCCTGTCGACAACGTCGAGCTCCTCGGTGTCCTACAGGGGGCACGCGAAGGACTCGATATCACGTACTCGCCACCGGCAGCATCATGTATGCCTGTTCCTGCAAAAAGCAGGAGGAATCAGCAGCGATCAGCGAAGTGCCCGGCCTAGGCGCAATCGACTCCACGAGATTGGCCTCTTGCTAGCTCCTAGACGACGCGGGCGAGGGCGAGATTGTCCTCTTGCTAGCTGAGGCCAGTGAACGGCCACCTCCCGTCAGCCGGCGGCGTGACCGCCACCGCAACGTGGTAGATAATCATGTTCGGTTGTTTTGCATGAAGGAAAATCATAACCTCTTGATGAGAATAATTTCTTATTTGATTTGATTTGATTGATTGATAGTAGTTTCCTTTTGCATGCAAGAAAGTTATATCACAACAGACGTGATGGTCACGCGAGGGAGCACTTCCTTTTGCATGGAAGGAAACTGCCATGATTGCCACTGAACGCGGGTCTCATGCAAGGAAAATCAACAACTGTCGTGATTGTCGCACGGAGGTGGGATCGATCGCATGGGGTGACAGACGGACGAACCAAGGCAATTGTCGCACCAAAACGATGTCCACACTTTGTTCTTTTTAGTTGTAGGAGATAAAGCGTGGAGTTTTTGGTGCGACATTCTAGTTCTTCCACCTGCGATCTCGCACCCCTCGCTCCTGTATGCCCGTCCTTGCGATCGACGCCCCCCGCCCGTCGTATCCCTTTCCTCTCCCGATTTTCTTTCCAAAACAAACTAATCTCCCTGGAACTCTCGCCCCTTTCTCTCGCAACCCCCGGTCTCGATCCCTTTCCACCGCACCTCGCCCTCTACTCTCGCTCTGCAGTCGCGCTCGTCGCGCCCGCGCCGTCGTCGTGCGCAGGAGGTGGGGCCTTCCTCTGGCGTCCGCCATCGCCACTCGTCCTTTTCCTCGCTCACACACCCGTGACCCGTCCCGATTCCAGTTTCAAATGGCAATGGCGATGATGACTATGCGACGCGTGGTGGCACTCGGTGCCCGCCACATCCCCGCCGCCGCCGTCGCTTCCTCCCGCGTCGTCCCCCTCCGCCACGTACGGCTCCCCCCTCTCACCTTATCAACCCGCCATCTTCCTCTTCGCCGCTTCATACCGCACCCCTCGCCCTCCCGTCGCCGCGTCACTGTGCAGTGCCTTCGTTCGCTTGTTGGTTGCGGGTTTGATATATTTTGGGTGTGTAGATGAGCGCGGACGCGGGCGCCGCGATGGAGAGGATCCGCTCCGCGGGGCTGCTCAGGACGCAGGGGCTCATCGCTGGGAAGTGGGTGGACACCTACGACGGGAAGACCATCAAGGTGCGCGTCACTTTCCCGGATTAATCCCGCTTCGCAGGCATGTGCTCTTCCTCTTCCTCTTCCGTTGGAAATCACCTGGAATGCGATGGGTTGGTTGGCTCCTCTCCTGTGGCGGCTTGACGGTCGACTCTGCGATGATTGTGGATCGGTGCCGAGATAGTTAATTCGAGAGCAATTAGTGTTTATGTTGTTTTGCGCGCTGGCTATTGTAATATCGTGTTTAGCAGTTTGGCAGCTGGGTTTTGGGTGAAGTGTCGAGTTCATTTTCATGAATTCATGACTTTTATGACCCTAGGTTGTCAACGCAGTGTTCCCATCGCGTCATTTTTCTGTTGCTATTACTTGTAGATAGCTTAAACATCATTTATTTCCCGTAGGTGCAAAATCCAGCAACTGGTGAGGTCCTTGCAAACGTGCCCTGTATGGGCAGCAGAGAAACATCTGATGCTATTGCTTCTGCTCACAGTACATTCTATTGTAAGTCAAATATTCCAGAACAATACAGTTCTGTCAAAGTGTTGTAAGATTCTAACAGGACAGTTACTTAAACACTGTAAATTAATATGCGGCTATTTCTGAAGATAATGTCCAGGCTTTGTGCTGAACGGCGTGAATAGTATTAAACCCGCCAGGATCAGTATTACAATGGGTTCACAGATGCGCTGGGCTCCATTCAGTTTGTGTAAAACACCTAAATTAGGTATGCCTAGGAAAGTTTGATCGTATGCGGCTCCTTTTTAGTTGGTATGCACGTAGATATACTCTGTCTATAGATAAATAGATTTATAGAGTCGGCTCAAGTAAAAAAAATTTAAATTTTAACTGAATTTTTATTTTTAGAAAAAAGGTTAAAATTTATAATGTCAAATTAGTATAATTAGATTTATCATATAATGTATTTTCATAAGGTGCTTATTTTATATCATAGATGTTACACTTTTCTATAAAGTTAGTCAAACTTAATACGGATTCAGAGTGTGTAATAAGGAGTACAATTTCAACTGAATATTTAGCATCTCATTTTCTAGTGTGTTAAAAATTTCTGTTGTGTGTTCTCCACCAAAATGAAGAAATAACCTTTTTCGATCAAGACAGAAACTTTTACCCCGTTTTGCATGTGCCACTATTCTAGGAGTGTTTTAGCAGTAGTTGTTTGATACAGCCTTTTAGCATGTTGGAACCTGAAAGGAGTCTCGAGTCATTGAATCTTTCTATGGTCACTTTTTTCTTCTAGTGACATGCAGCTAATCAATTGAGTGAGCATATAACTAGATATTTTGGGTCTGATTGTACGAACATTCATGTGGCATATCTACCATATTATACCCTTATTTGTTTGTGTATACCATTTTCTGAGTCCACAGCAGGCCACGTCGCCTCCTTTCCATGCCCGTAGGATCTGCCATCAACGGTCTGCGTAGCACCGCCTTCACCGCATGCTTCCACATCCCTCGCGTGGGGTCCACAGGATTAAAAAAATACCTCCTCGCGAACCTTCTTCGGCACTGCGACGCCCGCTCCCCCGTGAACTCCGCCGCCCTCTGTGCCGCGGCCTCGCAGCCACGCCGCCGTCCGTGCCGCTCCCTGCCCCTGCCAGCGCCGCCCTCTGTGCCGCGGCCTCGCAGCATGCCGCCGTCCGCGCCGCTCCCCGCCCCTGCCAGCACCGCGTCACTCCGTCCGTCGCCGCCGCGCCGGCCATCCCCATCGCCGGCTCCCTCCCCTTCCCTACCTTCCGTCCCCTACAGGATTACTACACCGCGACCTCCGCCTCCATCACGGATGCCGCCGGCTGCTAACGCCCGCGGCCCCCGCCGCGGCCGTCTGCTTAGGGCGCTCCCTCCTCTGCTCCCAGCACCGCTCCGCCCCCTCACGGTGCCTGGCCCCCGCCGCCGTCGCGGCCGCCATCCTCCCGCTTTCGCCGATTCGCCGCTCGATGTGTTCATCCTCCTCCACGGCTCACCTATGTTTTGCCGCTCCTCTCACCCACCTCACGTTGCTGCCATATCTCCTCACTTTTCTGCCCATTCTAAACCCGCCGCTTAAGGATTAGGAGAGGTCGCCATCTACCTTGCAACACAGGCAAGAACCTGTCATTCGTGCCCTTTCCTCATGGCTCCAGATATTAATTTTTATTCTCTTTCAATTTCCTTCAGTTTCTTATTTGTAAAAGCTACGTATTCCAGATTACAGTTTGGCTGCTGTTTTGCCCCCTCCTACTACAGAGCTTCCGATCTTCTGGAGCGTCCATGAGACCATGACTGGTGGCTTCCTCAAACTTACAAACTATGTTAGTGTGAACTACTGCAGGTAAGCTTTATTTCTCAGACAGACATTGTACCTTGACATTTTTTTTCATTCTATAGGATTATTTCCAGAGGCCTATTAAATGCCCTTGCAATTGCTCCTTAGTATTTGTTAGTCAAGCATTGTACCTCCAACATTTTGTTTGCTTTCATTTCATGGCATTATTTCCACAGCTTGCCCCTGCGGACGACAGTTTGCTGGGTGTAGAGCTACTGGGCTTTGGTGATGGCTTTCCATACTTGCTCGACCCCTGCACTTTCATATTTTTTGCCCTGTCAAATATTTGTCCATGCCGTCTCATGAAACTCTTCTAGACTCCTTCGATTTAACTAATGTCTTCTCATCTTTTTTTTTGGGTACAGTTTCCAGCACCTGAACCATTTTGTATTTCTACAGAAGTTGACAAAGTTTATCTGTTTGGTTACCCTATGAGATGAAGAGTTTGTATGCTCTGAATTCAATGGTGATGAGTAGCTTTCTGTTAGATCAAAGTTCATTTGTTTGGTTACCCTATGAGATGAAGAGTTTGTGTGCTTTGAATTAGTAAATTAATTCATCTTTTCTATCTAATGTCTGTATTGTACCGTTGAAAGATTATTCATGGTAGTGATTTTCCATATTACAATTGTATTTTTGAAATCCTTATTTTTTTCTGCGTTTTCTGAATGTTTTTTTTGGTTGGCCGGGATTTATATCCCTGTGTTGCCCAAATGGTACCAGGGATTTTCTCTCCGAGGGGTTTTTCGTTGCCCAGCGGGAGGGGGGTGGCATGTTCATGGAAGATAATCCCTTTGGGGAGCAAACCCATGTGTCTTTTCCACCCCTGTATCCAAAGGAGCCCTTAATGATAGTATCTCTCTCTGAAAAGGGGAAACTCATTCATTCATTATAAATAAACATGGTACAGAAATGGGACGCAAAAAGCCCCATTCAAAGTTTTGTAAAGCCAGTTGGATGTTACAATGTTGAGAATGTGCTAAAGCTTGACAAGATTAATCGATGCCTGTCTTGCCTGTTTTGCTAACTTGTCTGCAACTTTGTTCATCTCTCTTCGGATCTTGAGTATTGAGTATTGAATATTGAGTAGTTCCTTCCTCGTGTAGCATCAATTAGTGCCGCAAGGATCATCACTCTTTGGATCTTGAGTACTAAGTAGTTCCTTCCTTGTGTAGCATCCAATCAGTGCCACAAGGATTGGTATGAGGGACCAATGGCTGGGTTGTGGAGCACGAAGCTAGAGGTAGCAGCATTAGCCAACACCTGATTATCAGCCTGTTCGGGAGGCTTTATCGTATCGTGGATTATTTACTGCTGGCTGGTTTGATGTGAGAGAAAAACACTGTTCCCGGCTAGAAATTTACGATCGTTTACGAGCAAGCGAACAGAATATAAAGGAAAGGGAAAACAAAAGAAAAAAGAAAAAAATATCGTGTAATATAGGAAAATAAAAAATAATATTCCATGAACACTAGACGAGCAACCTAAAGTATATCATAGATGAGTACTACGTGAATAATAAGAAATACACCGTGGAACATTCTATCAATACTACTGGAAAAAAAAACTAAAATATAACATAGCTCATCTCACATGTACTATACGAGCATTACAAAATACACTATATGTAGGGACAGAGCTAGGATTTAAGCTAGGGGCGCATTCTAACAAATCGATAACAATAATATTGATGAAATACATGCCCATATTCCTACATTGACTTGACAAGAGCATACATAACAACCAAACCAATGTTTTCTATATGATACAAAAGCTAAAAAGCTAGAGAAAAAGGCTAGTTTTTGTTCTAGGGAAATACCCTAGTCATAGCATTGCACATAACATACACATTACAACATTGTGGGATGCATCTAGTTAAAAAAAACACTCCAGAACAAGCACTAAGCCACTAACCCCACAGCTTAACAAACGATATATCATCTATATCAATCTAATTAGCTCTAAAACCCTAACCTCCACCCAATCAATCTAATTTGTAGGCCACAAAACGATCACATCAATAATAGCATCAAAGAAGAGGGGGATGGTAATAGCAGCACTAATCATAAATCATACATATGCATTTGGAGGTTAATAGGGGGGAGATAAACTAAACAACCAAGATGTTGGGGGGGGTGGCGGGGACACCTCAACCCCGCTTATCTACGCCCTCAAACAGAGTGCTTTGGAATAATCCAGAACATCAAGGAAAATCTCATAAATAATACAACAATAATTTAGAATACACCTCAAATACTACAAAAATAACAATATTATTATATTATAGAAAAAATAGTTCAATCAAATATCACCATAGGATCATGGATACAATAAAAATTCTTTGAAATATATAGCTAAAATAAAAAATAGTAACAATTAAACAGAAACACACAATTAATAATAAAAAATATAAAAGCGAATTTCAAGGTTTCTGAGACTTGTAACTTTGATCGCCTAGGACCCATCAAAGGCCCAATTGTGGGCGGCTAAGGAAGGCCAGCTAGATAACAAGTCGCCCCAACCCACCACTGCACAGTCGCCGCGCATGGAGCCTGGAGGCGGAGGGCGAGGCCCCGGCGACCGGGTCCGGCGGCAGCTGCAGTCAGTGGGGCGGCTGGCAGCTTACCTTGGCGGCGGATTCCTCCTCCTCTCCGCTGCCTCCTCCGTCGCAGTCCGCTCCCTCCGCGCCCTCTCCGACGCCAACCAGGTGCACGCGCTCGCCCCGTTCCCCACCACCCTCCGAAGCGCGAACCCTTTCGGTTTCTGCTCTGGTCCTGCCCCGCGCCGCGATTGACTCTAGTGGCCTGCGCTTCGTCAGAGGAAGTTCGCGATGCCGTGCGGCGCCTGCGAGGGGAAGGGCACCTACGCGTGCAGGCTCTGCAGTGGCAGCGCCACCATCGAGTGGTCTCCAATGCACGACCCGGTGTTCGTCAACCCGTGCCTCTGCCCTACCTGCGATGGGACCCGGTTAGCCGCCGCCGCCGCCGCTACTGCTGCTGAGTTCCTGTGACTATGAACTTATGATATATTGATATGGATGTTTGCTGAATTTTTCCTGTTTTATCAGGGTGCAGCGTTGCTTGAACTGCGTGGGAAATGGTTACGCTTGAAGAAGCAATGTGCTTATCTTGATCGATGAACTTTCCTCGCACGGTTAGTTTTCATTATGGTAGATGATTGTTGGGGAGTCGATATTAAGAGTCACAGTTGAACGTTAGCCACTAACACACAGGGAAACAAAGCTGTTGTTCTCGCTGTTGGGAGTGTGCCTGACGGATTGTTAAAGTGGATGATTTCTGCAGGGTGCTGTTCCTATTCAAAATGAGAGATCAACGGGTGAAATGGAAGTGACATGCTTGTACACCCTTATGTGCCAGAAGTACAGATTTCAGTTGTTTGGTGAAATATGTATCTATGGTTGTAATGAAGCTCATTGTGGGCCATGCGTACAAGCCAAGATCATGGTGGCAAGTCATTTACTCAATTTCTCCTATCTGTTAGTTTATGAGATAGTTCATTGCACTTCTGTAGTATGTATCTTCTTGGCCATTTTCATCCTAACCACATAGCAATGGTTTGTTTTGCCTGAACTGAAACTGAAGACTGCTAACTACCTTCTTTTTTCTACTCGCTCTTAGAATAGTCGGATCGTGTCTCTGTCGGAGTGATCTGGCCAATTAATTCGAGTCTGATGTCTGTATTCTTAAGGACCTGTCATGTTGAAGGAAAATGAAAGATGCTGGGCTGTACAACAAACACCGATAGTAACCTTATGCCTTCTTTTCAGACTTATTCTTAGAATTTGTACAGACGAAGTATTCGTCATCGTGCAAGAACAGCTTGAAGGATGGTGTCTAGTGTCCACAGAGAATTAATAGAGCCATTCTGTCTTCAAGGTGTACAAACCTAGATGTCCTATGAATGTCACATCTTAAACGTGCCTTCTTGCACTTCACATGAAGAGCCCCTGAGAGCATATGAACCCATGAATCGACGATATATTGCAGACACCATGAATCGACGATATATTGTGGCCTGCAGACCATGACATGACCTCACACGGCTATGATATTCTGTTGTGGTAACAACATGACGTTAGAACCTTTCTCTCCCATTTTTCCTAGTGCAGTTTCACTACCTCGTGTTCCATTCAGCAAAGGGGTATAGATGTTCACACTTGTATACATAAATGCTGGACTTCAGTTTGTTGGCAAAGATGATACTGGAAGAAGGATGGAGGTCTGAGTCGTACTGAGACTTGCTTTACAATTTTTATTTTCATGAAATTTGTCTCTTAACCAACTTGCTATGTTCTAGATTATTGAAATACCCAACCACCGATATTTTGTTGGCGCTCAATTCCATCCTGAGTTCAAGTCAAGACCTTCAAAACCTTCTCCCCTATTTGTGGATAAGATGCTATCTGATGCTGAAAACTTTGTACCTTTTCACTTCACAAACATTTGTGATGTACTATTCCATGGAATATATCATAACCAAATTTATGTTTCTGCAGGACTAATTGCGGCTGCATCTGGGCAGCTGGATAGGGTGCTGCAAGACTGCAGCAATGGTCATGTTGTTGCAGCTAAACATGTTCTGAGCAATGGCTCATATACATCCACAGTACACCAAAATGGACACCCAAAGAAGCTTGCCAATGGTCTCTCAAACGGAACATACTATGCCAATGGCAATGGTGTGCATGCTTAGGGCATCAGTGGATGGATCAAGGATTTACAACTATTTACTTCAAATTTTGCGGTTCCTAATGCATCAGTTTTGACGTGGCTGGCTTGACTATCATCATGGTCGCTCGAGGAAGAAAAAGTTCTTGTGCTCGATGCGGACTGTCTGCTGGGGATAGTGCTCGTTCGGTGGTTTTTAGTTAAGGAACCAAGCTGGATCTCTTTGAAGGCGCGAGATAGTGGTTTCTGTGTTCGTCTCTACCCTCTTCTATAAGCAAATGGAGCAGATTTGGGTCAGAAGAGTTTACATGCTGTACATCTTAAAGAAAAGCTGAATGTTTTGGTTACTTAAAATTAGGTTTTCAGTGAGGTCTAGAGCTGACGCTTAAAAGAGCGCAGCAGTGCAAGAGAGTATTTCGATATTAGGCAAGTCTGTATTTTGATTTCGGACAGTTTGTTTTGTGCTTGTGCGCAAATAAGTTGATGCTCTGCTGCATGATCACATCAGTGACTTGCGAATCCATCTTGAGCGCTTGCTTCTCATAATTCCTGAGACTAGACGACTTGCCCAGTGGCAAGCTATCGTGGGTTTTAGTGAATGCGGCAATTATGTTTGACCGACTATGGGCGTGTTTGGGACCATGGCGTGGCCACCGCGCGGCCTCCACCCTGCGGTGCATAAAACGCGCAGTGTGTTTTCGGTGGAGGTTTTCTCGGTTCTCACAGTTGAGCGACCGCAGATGCTCGGTGATCGTAGCCAGCTATCCGGTCTCATTTTATTTAATTTGATTTTAAGGGGTTCCAAACACGCCCTGTAGCCAGCTATCCTGTCCCCTTTGCCTATATAGTTTTGAAGAATGACGCTGTTATATTAATCACGTTTCTGTCTCATTTGTCTATTTGATTTTAAGGGTGTTTGCCCATCGTAGGCTTCGTAGCCAGCTATCATGTCTAATTTGTCTATTTGATTTTAAGCGGTTCCAAACACGCCTTAGGGCTGGCTATCCTGTCCCCTTTGCCTATAGTTTTGAAGAACAATGCTATTATATTAATCACGTTTGTGTCTTATTTGTCTATCTGATTTTAAGCGTTTCCAAACACGTCCTGGAGCTGGCTATCCTGTCCCCTTTGCCTATAGTTTTGAAGAATGACGCTATTATATTAATCACGTCTCCTCTATATCAGTCGATGAAACGCTTCGTTTGTTCAGCCGACGGCTCGTCTGTCTGATCTCGTGCCGTAGTTTGCGCTGCTGTTGATGTATTCTCTGTATTGGGCTCGCTTTACCATCGGATCTTTATACAAACCCACTTGCAGGGCACTAGATTTATCAGCTCCCTCATTTTCTCTCGCCCGCCTAATTTTTTAGTCCTCTTTTGATTTGCCCTCTTGTGATTTGTCCTCTTTGTGATATGTTAGTAATTTATTAATTGTTTCTGTGTCATAACATATCAAAATTTTGTTTTGTTTGACTATAAAATAATTGTTAATTGTCTTTGTGCCAACACGGATTAGATTTTGTCAGGTTTATGGTTTTATCCAACAGGTATTTTATTCTCAGAACAAAAAATTTTACATATTATGCCTACATAAATTGCAGCGAACTAAAACTAAAATTTTAGTATAAAATATATGCAATAATTGTCGCCTAGAATTAGCAATTCCCTATATTAATTACCAAAATTCTCTTGAATTTGAAACAGTGTGTATTGAACGTTTTTTCCCTGTGTGTCATATGCATACGATTCATAACAGAAACACCTTGATAAGCCATATTGTCGACTACAGTCAACCAGCTGCCATCAGAAGGCATGGCATATGCTTTCTAAATTTATGGATTACTTATTTCAAACTGTAAATACACAACAGCAACCAGCATCTACTTGCAGTCATGTCTGCTGCTGTTTCGGTAGCTGTTATGTGGATGCAAGTGCTAACAATTCACCAAACAAATGACAGTATGAACACTCCGGTATGATTTGGGTGTCTGATGAACTCAAATGCGGCAGTAATCACACTGCTTGATAGAATTATGCGAAAGTGTTTGTGCTATGTTCTTGCATGGCAACACTGAATCCACTCGATAGTAATATCTTACTACGCAAAGACCATCCAATATCATAACAATTTCAAGAAATTTTTTTTGCTGAGTTCACCGGAATTTCTTGCAGTTGCAGTGCATTCAAAGTACACGAGCATAAAACTTTGGCACCAATTACAGGACAAGAATCTATCTATGAAAACCGAAAGCTCAATCCGTGCAATGTTCTTCACCCCCAACGGCTCAGGGTTCCCACGCTGAGAGAAGCTTGTCGATCAGCTCCACCAGCTTCCCTGTCTCCTCCGGCTGGCGCATGGCCGCCTCCAGCGCCCACGCTTCCTCGATCCTGGCGTCCTGCAGCATCGCGTCCCGCACCGCCTCCCGCGTGGCCTGCAACCCGTCCGTCGCCATCTCCCTGAGCGCGGCGAGCGCGGCCCTGGGGTCCTCAAGGCGGCAGAGCCCCGCGACAGCGTCAGCGTAGGTGGCGGCGTCGGGCCGGCGCGGGGAGTCCGGGCGACAGAGCCAGCGCAGCACGGAGGAGGCGTCGCGCGCGCGGCGCAGAGAGATTGAGCTGTAGTGGAATGACAAATAGCCTCAATCTATGTAAGGTCCGCCTGGCAGAGACCGAGGCTTCACTCTAGATGTCCCTAGCGGAGATCGAGGTGGCGCTCTAGAGTTCCCTGGAGGCCCTAGAGTCAGAGCGGAAGGCCCGGTCGAAGGTCGATCAGGAAGTGCTCGCGCTCCGGGGGTAGGTGTTGGGGATGGAGGAGTCATACACTTAAACATATGTGTAAAATATATGCAACATCTAGGCAACGCGGAAAACACTTGCTACAACATGAAAGGTGTGACTCAAAACACTGCAACATACGTCTAAAACAGATGAGGAGGGACTCTCCATCCTTGAGAACACCCACCTCAGTATTTACTTGTTCCACCTTTGATGTCTTGGTTTTTTCCTTTAGCCTACTTCTGAGCTTGTCGTCCTTCTTCTAGAGCTGGGCAGAAGGGTGGCTTCTCTGGAGCAGGACCAGGAGACGGCCAAGGCGATGATCGGTCGAAGCGCGGAGGCGCTATTGAAGTCCCTTGAAGTGCAACATGCTCTCAAGGGGGAGCTTGACCAGGTCCGCAATGTCACCTAGGTCATCATCTTGGAAGTGTTCAGAAGGAAAACAACAGCATACACCCCATATATATATATATATATATATATATATGGCCGAGCACCAGCACACACACCGCCATCATCGACCGGGTGGAGGTCAGAGATACACAACGGATGAAGTTCGGGCACTTATCTCCGACGGGATGTTCTATGGGACGTTGGGGGTGCTGACTTCGGTGGCAATGCACCACCCAGACCTGAACTTCGGTGCCATCTGCAACGGGTACATCGATGGCTGGAGCCCGGACGCCATCCATGCGCTCGGGGAGATCTTGCTGCCATACGCACAGTTGGTGGTAGAGCAAGTCTCCACACAATGGGTGATGGAGGCTCATCGTGCAAGCGCAGCTGAAGGCGCACGCCAGGAGGACATTACCCAGCCTGCGGATGGAGTGGAGCCTAGGTCGGAAGCGAACGTCGCCCCACCTCTGACTGAGCCGAACGTTGTCCGGCCAGAGAGTGAGCGGCCCCTACCTTCGCTAGTTGCACCGTCAGCCAATGCCGCCGGGCGGCCACAGTAGTATTTAGGGTAGAAGTAATTAGCACATGTAATGGATAAGTTCGTGGGGAAGCCCCCGTGTGAACAATTGTATTGATGAATACATCAATTTTTGTTTTGTGATGAATCACTTTGTAAGGGGAAGCTTGTCCCATCCGTTCCTTGTTTTTACCCTAGCACAGCTATGTTTTTATCCTTTCTTTTTGGCACCTACCCGGTCATCCAGTAGGCTGCAACCTTAAGAGCCTAGGCGTGGCCCGCGAGGCTCAACTGCTCGTAACCGTAGGCAGTGGCGGGGTGCGATTGGTCGAAATGTTTAAAGTAAAGTCACGTAGGGTAATTAAAGAATGGACTACCCTTTCGTTTGGGTAAAAAAGGTATTTACCATATGATAGTAAAAAATAGAGGTGGTATCGCACCTCCGTGGAGCCCCCGAGCGACCCGGGCCAAAAGTGTTCGAGCCGAGGTGCTTTGTAGGAGCGAACTTGAATGAAAGAAAGCGGTAAGACCAAATTTTAGGGGAAGAAACGACGTAACTGTTCGATGTTCCAAGTGTTGGTGAGAATGTTGCCATTGTCGTCCTTCAGTCGATAGGCGCCCGGTCGGATCACTTCGGTCACCGTATAGGGTCCTTCCCAAGGCAGAGAAAGCTTGTGTTTCTCCTTGGTTGATTGAATCCTTCGAAGCACAAGGTCTCTGACCTCGAGGATTCTCCCTCTGATTTTTGTTTCGTGGTACCTGCAGAGAGTTTGCTGGTAACAAGCGGAGCGGATGACGGTCGTCTCTTGGGCCTCCTCGAGCAGGTCGACTGCTTCTTGTTGAGCCTCCATGGCTCGGTCGCGATCGAAGGCCTTCACTCTTGGGGCACCGTGGTCGAGGTCAGAGGGCAGCACTACTTTAGCTCTATAGGCCAGGAAGAAGGGTGTGAACCCTATGGATCGGTTCGGGGTCATTCTTAAGCTCCAGAGGATCGGTGGGACCTCTACAACCCATCGCCCGACATACTTGTTGAGTCGATCAAAGATGCGTGGCTTGAGTCCTTGGAGGACCATGGCATTGGCTCGCTCGACCTTGCTGTTAGTACGCGGATGTCCGACCGAGGCCCAGTCGATCCTGATGCTGTATCCATCACTAAAGTCCAGGAACTTCTTCCCAGTGAAGTTAGTTCCGTGGTCAGTGATGATACAGTTAGGAACACCGAACTGGTAGATGATGTCGAGGAAGAACTTGACTGCCTCTTTCGAACAAACGTTGGTGATGGGCTTGGCCTCTATCCACTTGGTGAATTTGTCGACCGCCACGAGCAGGTGAGTGAAGCCGCTTGGGCCCTTTTTGAGGGGTCCTACCATGTCAAGGCCCCAGACCATGAACGGCCAGGTGATGGGGATGGTTTGAAGCTCCTCTGTCGGCAAATGGGTTTGCCGAGCATAGAACTGGCATCCTTCACGCCTACGGATGACCTCCTCTGCATCTCATAGCGCGGTGGGCCAGTAAAAACCTTAGCGAAAGGCTTTTTTGACTAGCGACCTTAGGGTCGCGTGATGTCCACAGATTCTAGCATGGACCTCGAGGAGGAGCTGTTTGCCTTGGTCAGTAGGGACACACTTCATGAGTACTCCTGACGGACTTCATTTGTAATGTTCGTTATCGAACATGACGAACATCTTGGCGCGTCGGGCGATCCATTGCGCTTCAGTCCTCTCGGGTGGGAGAAGCTCCTCGAGGAGGTAGGCGAGTAGCGACGCTCACCAATCGGCTTGATCAAGTGCCACCACGATGATGTCGATGGGTGACTTCGTCATGGAGGCACTGGGGTCGGAGCCCCCGAGCACCGGGTCGGTGTCGGGGTGTGTTTGGATCAGACCTTTCAGTGATGCGGGCAAACGGTTCGTGAAGGTCCTTGATGAAGACCCTGTTCGGAGACGGAACCCACCTAGCAGCCAATTTTATGAGAAAATCGGTGGCATTGTTGTCCTTTTGGGGGACATGGTGTAGCTCGATCCCCTAGAATTTGTCCTCGAGCTTGTGCCTCTTGGTAGTATGGTGTCATGAGGGGGCTTTTGCAAGAGGACTCCTTCATGACCTGGTCGATGACTAGCTCTGAGTTGCCATGAACGTAGAGTCGCATAGCGCCAAGCTCGATGGTGATGCGCAGTCCGTTGATGAGGGCCTCGTATTCCATGGTGTTGTTTGAGGCTGAAAAGTGGAGGCGGATTGCGTAGCAGAGCCTACTCCTATCTGGGGAGATCAGAACCACTCTAGCCCCCGAGCTGGGCGCCATTACGGACCTGTCGAAGTACATTGTGCAGTACTCGTGAGTGATGTCTGGGGTCAGGAGCTGGACCTCTGTCCATTCGGTGACAAAATCTAGGAGAGCCTGAGACTTAATAGCGGTGCGGGGGATGTACCTGATGTCATGGCCCATTAGCTTGAGTGCCCACTTGGAGATTCATCCCACAGCATCGCGGTTGCGAATGATGTCTCCGAGCGGGTATGAAGTGACGATCGAGACTTCATGGTCGGTGAAGTAGTGCAGGAGCTTCCGGGTCGCCATCAGTATGGCGTATAGGAGTTTTTGCACCTAGGGGTACCAGACCTTGGGGTCGGTGAGTACCTCCCTGATGAAGTATATGGGTCATTGGACCTTAAGGTGGTGTTTTGGCTCCTCCCTTTTGATGACTAGGGCGGCGCTCACCACATGGTTGCTTGTCGCGATGTAGAGGAGGTGGGGTTCTCCCCATTTGGGAGCGACGAGGATTGTGGCCGACATCAGTGATGCTTTGAGGCTCTCCAAAGCCCGCTGTGCTTCCTCAGTCCAGACGAAAGCGTCTGTCTTTTTGAGAAGCTTGTAGAGAGGCATCCCCCGTTTGCTGAGCTAGGAGATGCACCGGCTAAGGGCGGCCAAACAGCCGGTGAGCCTTTGTACGCCCTTGACATTGCGTATGGGGCCCATGTTGGAGATGGCCATGATTTTTTTAGGGTTGGCCTCGATACCGCGTTCGGACATGATGTATCCAAGCAGCTTCCCCTTCGGAACCCCAAAAACACATTTTTCGGGATTCAATTTGATATTGAACCTTCGAGAGGTTTTGAACGTTGCGGCCAAGTTTGCGATCAGGTCGCAAGCTTGAGCCGTTTTGACTACTATGTCATCAACATAGACGGTGATTATTGGTTTTGGCCGCTCGACTTGGTCAGGCTGATTGAGCGGGTTGATTTGATTGGCGAAGCATTGCTGCATGCACCGTTGATAGGTGGTGCCAGCATTCTTTAGACCAAAAGGCATGGTTACATAACAGTATGAACCATATAGAGTGATGAATGAAGTCGCGAGCGGGTTGGACTCTTTCATCACGATCTAGTGATAGCCTGTGTAGGTATCTAGAAAGGAGAGGATTTCGCATCCTAAGGTGGAGTCGACTATCTGGTCTATGCGTGGTAAAGGAAAATGGTTCTTCAAACACGCCTTGTTGAGGCCAGTATAATCAACGCACATTCTCGATTTCCTAGTTTTCTTTTTAACAAGAACAGGATTGGCAAGCCAGTCAGAGTGGTATACCTCTTTGATGAATTCGGCTACCAGGAGTTTGGCGACCTCCTCGCCTATGGCCCTGCGCCTCTCGTCGTCAAAGCGACGTAGACATTGCTTGGTGGGCTTTGAGCCTGGGATGAGGCACAGCGCGTGCTCGACGACCTCTCATGGTATGCCTGGCATGTCAGAAGGTTTCCATGCAAAGACATCGCGAT